CTGGGCGGGTGGGAAAAAAAACCCTATCCGACTTTGCCGACTTGTCATTTCAAACCCTACTTCGCGACTCGCTCAGCCATGTAGGAGGCAAAAAAATCCCGTGAAGCCCGGCAACTTCGTAGTTTCACCCTGCCCAGGCTGGCGCCAAGCCTTCTTGTGCTGGCAGCACACTGGGGAACGTGCAGCCGGCATGGGAGGGAAAGATGCCGGGGAGATTCTCAGAGCCGGGTTTTTGTGGGGTTTTGGGGTTGGGGTATAGAAAAAATTGGGTTCGGAGTTCTGTTGGAATCTGAAGACTGTTTCAATCAACTTGCTGACTGCGGCAGTTTAAGGTACTGCGCTCACTGGATCCCAAGGTCATCGTCGAGGTTCCCAGGGTCGTCGCATGAACAATCCCCAAGTCCCAAACTTGAAATTCTCAGCCTCAAAAACATAAGCCTACCCATAGGCCCCATAGTAGTTCCTTTTTGGGATAGGATTCTATATATGAACCCCAAAAAGGAACTACTCTGGGGCCTATGCCTAACCTTGAGACCTCGTGGCAGGCACCTGCGGTCGGCAGAAAGGCAGAAGCTGCCAGCGAGGCAAAGTCGCAGTCTTCCGGGTTCAGTTTTGTTTTTGGGGGTTTCATTGTTTAATGATTAGGGTTTATTTAGGGTTGCAGGGGGCTTGGGTGGGGGAGGGGGGGGGGTGCTCAAATCGATTTAGAGGGGGTTGATTAGGAATTTTGAGTTTTAGCTTTGTTTGTAGAGGGCTTGTAGGTGTTATTGGTACGTGATTTTGTTAAACGGGCTTCAAGTTAAGTTCTATTATCCCTTGCCCTTACCTGACCTGACTCCTGACCTGAACTGGGATTTAGCTTTCATAAGGTTCTCTTCTTGTTTCAAGAGTGGCGTGCATGTTTTTAGACTGGACCCTTATTTAGACGACTACCCCATGGGCGTTTGTGTAAAGCATCAATGCTACGAAGCTCCGAGCCGGAGAGCCGAAGGACCTTTAATTGAGGAGTTTCTCCGAAAGGGCTCACCTTGTTGGGGATCCAGGTGGAATTTCAGATCTACTCCTTGGTTGAGGGGCAAATTGGGCTCTTGAGAAGCCGTGCAGAGGAGTTACTGAAAGTCTTACCATGAGCCCCTGCTTTGTTGCGCCAGCTCACCCTCGCACTTACTTGACAGTTGGGGCTAGCAGTTCTGAAGGGCTTTTTGTGGCCTGGGTAGAGGTTTTATGCAGCTGCTATCGAACCTTATGGGGCCTTCGAAGGGTCAGGGAACTTACGGTAGCCAGTAGGCTCAGGGAACTTACGGTAGCCAGTAGGCTTTAAGGTGCGTACACGTAGTTGTAAACACTTCCGAGCAATGATGAAGAGCCATGGGCTTGTGGCGGAGTGCTGGGCTCCGGCCCGGGTCTCTGGGTGTGTAATGTAGGAGCCGTTATAATTAGAACAGGGTTCGGTGTATATTATACTATACCTATTGTAAGAAACCCCCAAAACCCTATTCTAATTATTAAGGCCCCTACATCAGGTTTTGCCATCAGCCCTGTGGGTTGATCGGTTGATTGATTTGACGAAATTGTAGTCGTTGGCCTCGTGGATGTCGTTTGAGATAGACCGCGCGACAGCAGCTTGTGAGGTCTCGACTGCCTGACCGCGGCACGCCCGAGTGCAACTGTCAAAAGCCGTGGTTCAGAACGAATCTGACGGAAACGGAGCTAGCACCAAGAAGCATATATGCCCAGCAGCTGTTTCGGAGTTGTTGTCTCGAGGCGCCTGCTCTTTGCCTTCCAGGCGCGCGTCAAGTGTTAAAAGAGCTCAGGAAGTAAGGCAGAGAAGGGTGTAGGGCTTCGGGTGATTTTCGCTGGGCTGGTGGGGTGTGACGTTTTTTTTTGGTTTTGGCTATGGCACTTTGGGATTGGCTTGAGGTTCCGTGTCGATGCTGACTTGGGGATCGAATTCTGCGTGGTAGGGTTTCAGGCTTTGGCCTTACCCATAGGCCCCATAGTAGTTCCTTTTTGTGGCTTATATTTAGGCTTCTATAAGGGAATCCCCAAAAGGAACTACTATTGGGGCCTCGGGGTAAACCCTAAACAGCCCTCCCTAGTAGACCCTAAACCCTAAACGCTGTCAGATATCTGGAGGGTTTGCAAGGAGCCCAGAGGTGCCATCACAAGTTCCGGCTTTGAGAAAACCGAAACCAGAAAGCCCGAAGGGTCCTGAAAGAATAGGGAGTTCCCGAAAACGCAAGACCCTAGGGGTTTAGGGCTTTTAGGGTTCAGGGCAGCTGAAGGATAAGAGCAATGTGCGCTGCAGCCCCTGCTCAAAAAAAGGGTCTTGGGGTTTAGTATAGGTCTTTACAGCAAGGCCCCGAATCCGGGGACCCTTATCTTGAAGAAGTTATCCCCCGACACAGTTTTGGTCACAAACCTTACAAGCCTGGGGATGAGGCAGGGGCCTTAGGGTTTGGGGCCGCAGGTTTGCCTCATGAAGTCAACATCTTTCCAATGAGATAAGGATGTAGGGCTGTTTAGGGTTTTCTTGAAGATGTAGGGAGTTTGCTAGGATCGATGGGTGATCTTGCCATGGCCAACGGCATCACAAGGCGCAGTCGCAACTACAATGAACCCGAGCACAGAGAGAGATTCGGAAACCCCCCAACACATGCCAGCTTCTCAGTGTCCATGTGGACCCGATCAGTGCCTCAATGCATGCTTCAGCCCTTGCCTCCCCCGTTGTAGCACCGAGAGCCTAAGCCGGGCCTCTACTACTACGTGCGCCCAAGATCCCTGTAACCTCGCATTTCAGAAGCCTGAACTCCCTGACCCTATTCCCAATAAAAAAACTCCTTAGCGATGCTCACGCTACAGTGTCACCCCACGTACCCCCAAACCTCATGCAACAGGCCCCTTGATCTAGGCACTGAGCCTTGTTTCGCCCCAGCTGAAATCAATGCTATGGCCTTACTCAGGAATGAGCGCCAAGCCATAGGACACTTAGATATCCTGGACCTCTGGACCCTAATCCCTTCCTGTAAACCCCCGTGCCTGAGCCGTAATTCCAATCCTCCAATGTCCTACATTGTCTTTGGCCTCAACCCACGGAGCCCGAACACAGTGACTCGCCACATATTTGCCCTAAAAAACATGGTAAAGGTCGTCAGTCGCTTTGTCCAGTCGTTCTACCCTAACTTCAAGTTCACGACACTTGCCGTAAGGATGAACTCTTTCGAATTTCTACTTCGCGTAGCGAAGTTGTGCACCTCCAGCGATGGAGCTGTTACTGTAGTGTAAAGGTTCGTCCTAGCCAGGCACGAGGCAAAAAAAAGCTCGGAAGACTTCTTTGTATCTTTCGATTCTTGTGGGCACGAAACTCAGGCCTGTCGCTCTGCAAAGGAGCACTAACTAGACCCGATGCCGCCGAATCCGAGAAGCCGCGAAGCCTTCATCGGAGGTTTCGTAGGGTGTCAGTCGCATGTTGCACAGTTTCGGCTCGAACCCCAGCCCCGACAGCCTAAGCGTCCCCCGAGATCGCTTGCCGCTGTCGTGAGGACATCCGCCCGACGCAGCCCAGCTTGCCCCTCGCTTATCCAGCATGTTGGCCGTACATGTGTGCAGTGTGGCCACCGGCCAAGAGCTCTGCATCATCTCAGCAGGCCGTGATTGGACAGTGCATGAGCTCAGCGTGAAGGTTGCAACTCAGCTTGGAGCCAAACTGCACTCACAAACCTTCCTGCAGGGTCCGAGAGTCCTCGAAAGCACTGAGTCCTTGAACGACTTCTTAGAGACGGAGGATGCAAAAACCCTGGAGCTGCAGCTTCTGAGAAAGTCTTGGGTGGTGACGGTCGAATACGAGGATGAAGCTGTGGACATCGAGGCATATCCCGAGTGCACATTGCAGGCCTTCGGCGTGTTGGTGGCTGACAGGCTTCAACTCCCCGCCGCCACAAGACCTAGCTTCTACCTTCAGGACAAACCGCTAGACTGGGACGGCGAAGCCGAGACAAGCTTGGCGGATGTAGGCATCCAGCCGGGTGTCACATTGCAGGTACCATTCACAAGCAACCTGGAGTTGATGTGCAAAGGGAGGCCTGCATTGCAGAGTCGGCGGTCCGAGTTCTTAGAATCGAATGCGGCCTTGTGCCTCATTGATCAATGCCAAGAGGACTTCTTGCTTCCCAAGGATGAGTTCTGTGAAGATCTGGCAGAGTGGAGTATTGGTCAATCTGTCGACTCGCTACACCCAGGGACTGGAGGCTTCCTGTGCGACTCCCTTGCCAAGCTGCCACGGCTCTTCACTCCAGACGAGTGCAGGAAAATCGTCAGGTCTTCCGAGAAGCTGGCAATGGCACCCATGGATGTGGCCTGCTTCCGGGGCACCCGCCGCTACCAGCGCGTCGTCGTGCGGGACGAGACCTTGGCACGGAAGCTGTGGGAGCGAGCGGAGCCCTACGTGCGCGAGGCACTCGAAGGCCAGAGCCTGAGACCTCTTGGCTTCGGCTGTGCGGGTGACTGGGAGCTCGAGGGCCTGAATCACTGTTTTCGTGTGAATTCCTATGGGCCAGGGGGATTTCTGAAGCCGCACCGCGATGCGCCCTTCGCCCAGCATTCTAATCTCAGGAGCCTGTGCACGCTGCTCATTCCTTTGGACTCCGTGGGAAGGACGCGCTTCTTCCATCCTGTGAAGCCTTTGGATTTTCGAGGCATGACCCTGAACGAAGAGCTTGAGGCAAGAGGTGGATTGGCTGCCGGCTTTGAGGCTCTGGACGTTCGTCTCTCAGCTGGTCGTGGCTTGCTCTTCGGTCAGAGCCTGCAGCTTGGATGCTCTTCGGAATGCTTTCCCTAAAGACACTGTTTCGTAGAAGACTTGCCAAGCAACCCTAGAAATATTGTGCTGAAAAAGAGAACATTGCATCCAAAGAATAAATGCTCAGACTTTGTCGGAGGATCAGGAGATGTAGTAACTGAGCACCGACCAAGACGCAACATCGTTTCACTAAAGACCTTGTGATTGAAGATTTGAGTCAGATCTCGCTAAGACAATGACAGCCCCGCCTTGTTGAACCCTAACCCAAAGGGTCCAAGTACTAGTATAGTATATACTTTTGGGGCCAAAAAACCTACCAAATACCTACTATAATGGTATTTGGACCCTTTTGGTAAGGCTCCATGAAGGCATCCCGGCAGAGGGCTCGGAGCGAAAGATCCTTCTTCGAACCGACGTGCTTGTAAGGAGAAGGCTCCACATTCCCACAGTGCTGCCCCTTGGCTGTTTCGGTTTAGGTTTGCGACGCTTCATGGTTGGACTTAACAAAACGTAGATAAGTGCGTAGTAGTGGTAGTACGAGTGGTAGCAGTAGTAGTAGTAGTA